TCTTGACTAGAGTCTTGGCTATAAAGGACTAGAAATCGGCCTACGTAAAGATGTCCTAGGAGACACGGATCGCAGTCGCGGGGAATTGGCGAATTAGTCGGCCGCGGGCGCTAAAGACGAATGAGTTAATTAGTGATAGTTCGAAGAGCTCGAATAACACGGAGCCTTTAACCTAGTAAATAAGAACTCCTGCGTTCTAAGCCTTAACGTGAAACGAAGCAATAACTTCTAAATATCCGAGTTAGCATTAAGAATTCTATATATAGGGATAAGATAATATAGGCTAAAAGAGATACCGAAGGAGGCAATACGCTATAAGGTCTCTAGCACGCTATTTACTTATAAATGTCCTTACGTCTCTCTTACCGTTCGTATATTCTCTATTATAGAAATAGCAGCTTTAGTAGCCGTTTTATACTTAGCGTCTGCCTCGTCTAGAAACCGCCGTAAAGAGTCTAGTATAAAGTCAATTAAGATTAACTCGTTACTGCTAGAGCTATTATAGCTACCGGGAAGCTTAGAAGGTAGAAAGAGGTAATAAAAGAGAAAGTCGAGCGACTCCTTAGATAATTCTGCGTTATCTATAATAAGCAGAGCAAGCGCCGAAGGTTACTTACTAAGTAAAGTAAGACCGAGAGGTTTAGAAATCGAGAAAGTTTAAAGATTTAGCAATAAGATATAATAAGGTTAAGAGGTCTAGGAGATTCGAATTATAATATAGAGTGCTAGTGCGATGAATTTAACCTAGTCCCTACGAATGCCTATATCTATACTTCACGCGTAAATTTATATCCCCCGATATCTTATTACTCGACGATAAGCCTCCCGTATAACTGCCGCTGCCGCTAGGCGCAATGTAAATGCAAAGCATTATTATGCGCAACTATAGATTAGAGGCTTTATTCCCTACCACTAAGTCACTATATATATTAAAGGCAATAAGCACGTATACCGATCCGCTTCTTTTATTCGTTATTATTACTTTATAGCTCTAGTCTCTAGGCGGGTAAGGAGAGTATATAAGACTTAGCTTAATAATATGTCTATTTTATAACTATGCCCACTACCTTAATAGTACCTAGTGGCTCCGCAACTCGGATACTAGACGGTAAATAGCTCGTGTTCTAGTAGCCTAGTGCGCGTGAAGTCGTTAAGTAGCCGAGGGCGCACTAAGCTAATTCGGAAGTCGACTACTAAGCGTAGATTTTAAGGCGTTATAGCTTAAATCGCGTCGCCTCTTTCTAATATATCCTGCGTAAGGACTGCCCTTACCCGCTAATCGGGCCGTTAGGTTATAGGATTACGAAAATCGTAGAAAACGGGGGAAATGAAAATTTCTAACGTTTCCGAATTAATTTGCTTATTTAAGCTATAACGATACTAATTATAGCTGTGGGCTTAACGTAGCTATAATAGCTCGGAGTCTGAAAACCGACCTAGTTTCTTCTTGTTCCTATCTCTTTTCTTTAAAAGACAAATATAATATAGAGTTTAGAGCATAGATAATATCCCGACCATAAGCCTTATTTCCGCTCTTTAATGCTATTTTAGTGTTACGGCTAGCTAGGCCGGAGAGCATGCCGCATAACGATAAGTAGTATATAGCAAAGATTTCTCTACATCGAATAGATATCCTTGCTACTTAAATTACTATATAGTAAGTGGAAATAAGGATAGGATAATCGATCGATGCATCGCCTAATATTGCATGTTATTTTAGCTAGTAGCTTTTGAATCTTTATTGTGCTCTTAGGATGCCTATATAATACTGATCCACTTCCACCTTTATATATAGTCTAGTAAATCGCTATTAGCAATTTAATAGATCACGTAAACTTAAATCGGAGTATAAATACCTTAGATTAATAAGCTAATGAGCTTAATTAGGGCGATCCTATCCTGATATTAGGGATAGCCCGTGGATTTACATGATTTATTATACCTATAGCGATGCATACTAGCGGAGCTTACCTTTACTATCACTCTTTTAATATAAGCTAAATGCGCTTTTCCCTATAGATGCTAGTTATAGGCATGATCCTACCTTTATTATAAGTCGGATATTAGTAGAGAGGCCGCTAGCGTCTTAAAAAGACAACTATTGCCTGCATACCGATAGTACCTATTTATCGAAGCCTGCTTAGTAGATCTAACGTCGGATGTTTTTCCGGATAATAATATATATGCGTGAGAGGCATAGAGCAGCAGGTAAAGGAGCTTCCGACATTAGCGCCTTAGTATAGCACCTAAATTACTCGGTAGTGATGGAAAGGAAGGCGAAGGGAAACACTAAACTCAAGGAATTTAATCTACTAGAAGGGAATTAACCTTAGAACTTGTTAAGATAAAGCCGCTCGCTTATACTAAAGATCAGCAACATCACTGCCTAACCGGCTTTAGCTAACTATTATACTGCTGCCTGCTATCTCTAAGGTGTTTAATTTAGCTCGATTACGCTCCTTTAGATAAGAAATCACGGGACGCTTATCTAACTACGAATTCTACTAGATTCTCGTATTCATCCACCCTATTTATCGTGTGACATATCTCCTATTGTCTAGCGAATAGTATCTAGCGTATCTTATTTTAACGGCTGCTATCGTCGCCATTTCTTATTCTCAAGCCGCTTAGAGAACTGTGCGAGCACTGTAGCCGTGCTCTTCGTTAATTAATGCTTTGCGCCTACGCGGTCGTAAGGAGCATGCGAATATCTATATATTACCAGGTTTATACGACAAAGATATCTTGCTTTATTAGACATATTATATAGGAGATATTAGCGCTATAGGGTCGACGCTCCCTGCTTACTGCCTAGCAGGCAGTAGATACTAGGCGAGCTGCTGCCTGTAGGCAGCGCTCCACTTATTCTTATAACTAATATATTTAAGGATAGATTATTCCCACTTATTAGATAGTAAGAAGAGTCTTCTAGTCCCTAATCTTTATGCTTACTTGCTTATCCTTTATGCGATAGGACAGTGTCTATAACTGCAGGCTGCACTAAATCGACTATAGCTTAGACTAGGTATAGCTTAGACCGTAAAAGTCTAGAACATGCACTATAACACATTCGTATAAGAAGCGTCGATATGGATGTAAGAACGGGAAAGGAAAGTGTTCGATAGATAAGGAGGCGTGCAATTTTCACCTTTTAATACAGCTGCTAAATTAACCAAGCAGTCGAGCAACCAAAGGGTAGTTACATCGTAATTAGTTTTAAATCTAACTTTCTAAGCCAGGCCGATCTCAACGATCCCTAATATCGGACACAGTCGATACAACAGCTATAGTATTAAGGCCAGGGCATACGAAGTGGTAGGTAGCAGACTTTAGTTGACTAAATTATGTTAGGATATACTAGTGCGTCGCTTGTTAGGGAATCTAGTACGGTCCCTGCCCCTCCGCTCTATTATAACAGGCCCTTGCTTCTCGCCTCCTCCGCCGCCTGCTTTCTTGCGAGATATCTTTCTTTTGCGCTGGAGATTCCCTCTTCCGCCTTGCGGCTTTTAGCCAACCGCTCTACGTCCTAACGCTAAGTCTCCTCTACCTCTCTAAAGCGCTTTAGCGACCGCTCTAACTGCTCTTCCAGCGCCCACGATTGCCTCTCCCGCATTCCTTGCTTCCTCTTAGCTAGCACGTTATTAGCATAGCGTTAATCGCTTTCTCTCGGCCGCTTGGTCTCTTTCTAAGCGCCTTCTCTCCGTTTGGCGCCCATATTAAGGCCGCCCTTAAGAAGCTGTCGCTTATCGACAACCTAGCCGTCCTCGTTAACAGCAATAGACGCCCCTTTCTCGTTAAGTTCTAGAGCTAGGGCTGCGTCCGCCTTTCTATATTCTCGCCCTCCCCCTCATCCTCGCCAACCTTTAGTCTATCCTTAGCGCTCTCTCGTGTAGCCTTTATAACCTCGGCGTGCCTTTCCTCACCCTTGTCTAAGAGACGCCTATAAAAGGCTGGCACGCCACTATCTTCGTTTTTCTTGGCCTCCTCTTCCCCTATGCGCTTTTCCTCCTCTTTAAATCGCCTGTTTTTAGCTTATTGCCCCCTATAAGCTTCCGTTATAAGCCGTTCCTTGCCTGTATACTTGTCGCCTTCTGCCTCGCGCTCGCGCTCAATCTTCTTTTCCTTAGCAATTAATGCGTCTCGCTTACGCATCTCTGCGGCCCGCATCAAGCTTTATATATATTTTGACTTTTATTCGGCCTCGTCTTATATTGCGTGCTTCTTAGGCTTAAGGGAGTTATAGATCGAGTTATATTCGTAGACGGTTAGATCAACCTCCCTAGCTCCTTCGACGTTATTCCGAGCCGTTAGGGCGCTTAAGAGGTCTCTAAACCCGGGACTCGTTTTAGATTTTGCTATAAGCTTCGGTGGTTGCCCAGACAGCCTGTTTTTGAGCTTGGGTCCGTTGCTCGACGAGGCTCCTTCCCTCGCGGTCGTGGTGATCAAGTCTAGCTCCCCTCTAATGCCGTCTCACCCTATCGCGCTGCTTGCGCCGTTATTATCGGAATTGTAGTTGTCGTCGCTAAACACTGTCTTTCTGCTTGTTGGCGCGGGCGCGGGTTCCTTAGCGCCCGGCTTGCTCATCTTCGACGTACTCGCCTCCTGGACGAGCTTGATGCTCGTGACGGCGCCGAGCAGCCTATAGAATTTCCTCCGTCCGGCGATGGCGAACGAGACGGACTTGACGATGAAAGCGCAGGCCCATGCAGAGCGGCTGGCAAAACCTATCGCATACCAAGCCTGCCTAGGATGATTACTCGTGAAGTGGCGATATTACTACGCAACGCCGCTGTTGCCTTCTAATGCGTAGGCAGGTAATAAGTCTTTTATTTGTATATAAAGAGCTGCATAATTCCCTATAGCTCGTTCACTCACTTCTTATTCTTTAGATAATTCTCATCAATTGACTGATGCCATTCAGGTCGCTTTGCATAGCCGCTGTCGTGCCAGGTGTGGGCCGCAACTGTCTGACAAAACCACTAGTAAACGCCAAGAGAAATTCAGGCGCGCAGGCGTTGCTTGGGCAGTAGAGCTGGTTCGTGTGCGCCGTACGTGGTGCGGGGGATGGCGTACGGATCAAAGTCCTCAGAGATCAACTGCGAGAGCTTAACAGTCATAATTCCTTCCCGAAATAAGAGGTCCATGTTAGAGAGAGATGTAAGTCAAGAAATGGAATAAGCCTTCCGCATGCCGTCTTTGCTTAGTTTATGTATAAATATTATCGCACGCTTAAAACAAAACTTACATTCAGATGCGCCAACTCGCGTGCTGCGCGCGGTCAATCTAAGCAAGCTAAAATAAGACAAAATGCGCCGCATAAAAAAACACGGCGCCGCTCACGCCAGATTGGTGGTTAGGCACTTAACGGGCACCGAGAGAAATTTCGCGTTATGACTCTAATGCTCTTAAGGTCCGGTGCTCTAGGGCTACCGGGCCCGTACCTTCAAGAAAACCTGGCTCCATATCGCATCATGGATTAAATGGAGGCGCGCGGCTATAACTTGGCGCTGGCGATTGGCGGCGAGGCAAAGCGGCGTTTCCTAGCGAGAGGTGGGCTGCCGCTAGAAGATTTCGCTGTTTCGCTGCGGAAAACCGGCCCTAACTCTCTAAGGTTACTAATCGACTGCGAGTTGCACCTGCAGCCAGATAGCGCCATGCATCGTATTGTCGGGGGGCCAAGACCAGGACACTACGCCTACCACCTAACGAAATCGCCGCAACGGGCGTCTCACTTTGCCTATGGTCTCTACTATAGCATCCTTTCGATCTTCGGCGACCCTATACTTATCTTCGTGGCCGACTTCGGTGTAGAGCAAGTCCTACGTTTCCTATGCTTCTAGATAAGGTCTGCAAAAGCCAAAAAGTACTCTCAGCGATCCTGGGTTATTCTAATAACTAATGGCTCGCCCCGGTTCGATGAATTTCACCTAATAGCCGCTATGATATCGGAGCTGCGGGGGGATGAACCGGCGACGCTGTATTCCGCCAGGGACGTTAGGAAGATGATTCGATCGTGTTTCGACTTTACTATACTAAGAGGGGTGACTGATCTCTCTAACGAATCCTGGTAGAGTATAATTTCATCGACTCTAAAGATAGGGAGAGTAAGAGACTATACTCCCCTATGTAAGCGCAAGCTCTTGCGTGCCGCTATCGCCTACTACGCAAGGCAACTATAAATACCTTTCGATTTGATCCGCGCTTCTAGGATATCTAGCCCGATCCCGGAAAGATTTAAAGAAAATTTGGCCCAGTTCCTAGAAGCAAGCTAGGTCGCGGGTGTTAATAGCGCTTGCTTTATTACGTCTGCTCTAATAATGGATGCATTCCCTACCGTAAGATATAGTACGTTTTCTGCCTTTATGAGCAAACCAAAGCCTAACAACACCCAGGGTTTCCCCCTGACCAGGTCTTTAAATCGCTTTATTATAAGCGAGTCCTTTCATGCGAGAACAAACTTAGGCTCTAGGGCCTAACGGAGGCTGTTAAACGGAACTTCGTTAGCATTTTAACCGATATATAATCGTCCGATATAGATTCGTCGGTGCAGCATTTTGCGCGGCTTTAGGGCAATAGAGCAATTTCTTTATTAAGAACCTAAAATTTCTGCTCAATCTGTCTTATTAACACGCTAACCCTCACTTTAGACTGCTTCTATCGGCTATACAAGGCTTATATAAAGGGGTGCTTTAGTAAGTTAGAGCTATATCGGTATAGGCTATCGATCTATTTACTATGCTAGAAAGGCAACCGAAGTATATTTATAACCAGGCCTTCTACGGCTGGGATTAGAAGGCTCGAGTTAGGGGGAGCGGACCCTTAGTAGATCCTAACGTTCCTTTAAGAATTAAACCGATGTCTTAGACTGGCCGTTATACCCCTATAGGAGTTCTTTGACTTAGTAGTTGCTAGCAAAATTGGTAATCATGTCGCCTCGTCCGTCTAGTTCCTCTCTATACTAATTAAACGGCTAACGAGCGTAGGAATCTTTTTTGCCCTTACGTTATTTATAGAAGAGTAGACGCTTCCCGATTGCAAATACTATATATTAAGACTAAGAAGTCTAAAGGGAACTAGTTACGGTATAAGCTTTAGAGGAAAGCTTACCTGGGATATAGCCGATATCTTGCGGTTTAATAAAGGCAATATACTGCTAGATATGCACGGGGTGCAATGCTCTAACTATTAGAACGACTAGAAAGACGAGTAGGTGGTTTCCGCTTTTATTATAAAACGTTATCTAATCTTCTCGACCTATAGCTCGCCTTTAAGACGATATAATATCGTGGTTCGGTATAATAGAGAGGTATTCCCGCTATAGTCTATTAGTAGCATAGCTAGCATGCTAGTAAGTTCTTTATTCTATATCGAGCTTACCTATATGCCCTAATTCTATATGTCGCTGGAATTATATACTTTAAATATCTTATATCGTATCCTACTAGGAGAGGCACTCTTAACCCTTCTCGATAAGCTAAGACGGGTTAATATATTTCTAATATACTAAGGAAGTAAGATAGTCTCGTCTTAGACTTCTCTTTATTTAGATAAGGTTATAAAAAAGTGCTAAGCTTCTTAGCGCTTTTTAAGAGCTATTATAATATAGGTTTCGTTACTAGAAACGCGGATTACGGTTTAGCTTAGTAGCCCGACTAGTCCTCTACGGAGTATAAGTAACTGCCCTTACTAACTTAGAGATCTTATAGAGGACTAAGGCCCTAACTTCTTTAACGGAACGAGATATATAGAATTAAGTATAGGATCTAAAGAGAAGCGCTAACTATAGAGTTCTTATATAGAAACCGAAGTAGATAAACCCGAATAAAGGAGTAGACTAATACTATAATATACTTATATTCCCCTATTAACTCTATATTATTATAATAACTCTATTTATAAGTACTTATATAGCAATAATAGGACTACTTGTCTCGTCTTCGTAGATATAGGTGCTAGCTAGAGTATATTAGTAGCACTAAAGTCTAAGCTAGCCGCGGTAATGCTAGTTTTATCGTTTTAAAACTCCGATAATATTTTAGGTAATATACTTACTAGGGATATATATTACGTTAAGGCGCTATCTAATACTAGATTCGTGCTATCGACCTCTAGATTATACTATAAGTTAGGCGATAGAAGAAACATAGAAGGGGTTATTAGAAATTCCGGTAAGTCTTCTAGAAATAATAGTTTAAGGGCTAAGCTAGGAATATCTAATTCTAAGCTTAGCCGTTCGGAGGTTAAGCTTAATATTAATAATGCCGGGCTTTAACCTACGGTCGAGGCTAGTAATAGACAACGAGAGTTTAAAAGTCGGTGCCTGCTACCTTTAAACCGATCCGGTCCTATAATTACTTCTTCTTCTATTATCTAAGAGAGCTCGCGTATTAGGCCGGGTCGAGACTAGAATCCTCTTATAAAGCTATCTAATCGCCGCGTAAGGATAACTACGTCGACGTTATACGTTTCGGATAGAGCGTTCCCCTTCTTATAGAGGCCCTATTAGTAGTTAGCCGTGCCGGTCTTAATGCCTTTGTTCTTTCTAGATCGCTGCCTAGGCATCGTTAAGTAAAAATTTAAGAGAATTATTAAACCGTATGCGAAAGACGCTATAAAGGAAGGTTAATAACTAGGCTAATAATGCTTAATTTAAGCGAAGAGCATAAGGCTTCTAAGCGCTAGGCCTAGGTAGGTATATAAAGTATTACTTTATCTATTCCTAAAACTTAGGAGTAATCTAAGCGCGTGGATAGACAACCGGTATAGACTAACTATTAGAGTCGGAGGCACTCGCGGAGGCGCCGTCGAGAATTATAGGGCTTCCGGGACCCGCCCCGACGTAGGCCGTTACGGCATCCGGACGGCGGCGCGAAAACGCCGTCTAAAAATAAACGGATTCTATTTTTAATATAGCGAACTACGGCCTAAACGCTTTTAGGGAGAATTAAAGTTAATTATTTTAAAGGGGCCGACTGCTAAACTTTACGGCAAACGGCTTTCTTTTAAGAGCAACTAATCTAGCCTAAAGATTAGCTATATTAATTAAATTTCTCTTCTATAAGTATATAACATTAGTCTTTCCTATTATTATATATACACCTTTATTATAAGTCTAGATATAAGCATGCTATACTTAATCGCATTCTTTATCGTTTTCGGCGTAGCTTTAATCCTTTAGATAGTAAAGCTCTTCGTTCCTAGCCTTATAATCTCTTTCGCTCGATACGTCTAATACCCTCTCTTAATTAGCTTTAGATTATTGCGCGCTACTCGTCTTTATATAGCGATATACGTTGTATTTCTCCTTATTAATATTAGCGTTATTCTTATACCGTTATTCTTTCCTAGATAGAGGTAGGTTTAAAGAAGGGCCGCTTTAATAGCTATTATAAATATCGCACCGCTTTATATAGGTAGCCGAGCGCCTATTATTAAGACTTTAGATATCCCGCGCGAATGGTATTATATAGTACACTCCTAGGTTAGGCTCGTTGCTATTACCGAGGCCGTCTCCTACTCCGTTATTGCCTTAAGCTTAAGCCCGAGACCGGGCCCGTTAATTTAAATAGGCTAGGCTATAGGTTAATTTATTCTCTATTTTTCTCTATGTCCCTGCTAACTTATTAGTCGTTCGGTCTACTTCTAGGAGCACTTTTTATAGCTTTCCCCCTAGTTAAGAGAGGGCTCGGGAGATGGTTTCTCTGGATCTATAGAGCAGCCTCGCTAGGTGCCGTCTCTTTACTATTAAGTTACGTACTTAACGCTTTATCTTCGAGATTAAAGGTTTTAATCGGAAGCTCGTATAGCTTCTAGCTAGCAACTACGGTATTCCGCGTCTCGAGACTAATATATTACTAGCACACTACTAAGATTATCGAGGTTTTAGGAACTGCTAACATCGTAAAGATTTACGTTAGTCTTAACTATCCGATATAAATTCGCGCGGGTTGCTATTTCTATATGTTTTTCCCTTTTACTTAGAGCCCTATAAGGTATCTAGTAAAGTATAACTTACTATATAGCTTTACCGCTATTTCTTATTAGTATGATCCCTATAACGTATCCTAGTTAGTCTTAAGCTTAATATTCTTGCTTTCGCGGCATAGGAGTTATAGAAGCGCAATTTTAAGGTTAAAGGAGGGCT